CCCTCCGCTATTTTAGTTTAATTGTTCACATGACTGCATCACATGACTAAAATGTGTCATCGATTTTGAAAAGGCTCCGGGTTCGCTGTCCACACTGCTACGCGAAAACGTTTTCAAATGTATCCACTTTGGAGAGCGTTTTCAAAAAGCTGCGTTGTCAACGAGCGAAAACGCAGCTCAGTGTGGACGGGAGGCCAAACCGGAGAGAAAAAGATGCGTTTTCAAACAAAAATGCATTAGTGTGGACGTAGCCTGAAGCTTCTCATAAAGCAATTCACGCAGGTGATGGTTTTTTTCTGCCTGGGTGGGCAAGTTTGCACCTTATCTTACAAATAGAAGACTTGTTTTTTTACACTTTATGGCACTTTTGCGACTTGTAGCCTCCTGAAGACAGACTGATTGTTTCCCCAGACAGTGCTACACACATCACACGTAGCCTTGGGCATCTTCTCCTTCTGTTTGTGTCACCATGCATAATTATGTTGCTTACTCAGAGAGCATTGCAGTCAGGTTGATTTGCATGTTGTGGCTGATTGCCTCACCATTATCTTTGCTTTGGCGCTATTCTTTCTTATCCTCTGTCTATGTGTGTGTGTATGGATGGCGTGGTGTTATTTGATGGGCAATTATGTCTTTAAGTTCTTCCTTTTTGGCATTGTGTCAATAAAAAAACAGCAAACTTCAGCTTTTATCCATGTGCTCATTTTGATGTGACAACCAGTCAATTGAGCAGATCTGATTCATGTGGAAGCAGCACGAGTCTTTCTGGTTCAAATGGTTCAAATCCTGCTTATGGCAACATTTTTTTCAGTTAACAGTTAAACCTTCGTTACCTCTTTTCAGCAGAAATTCTGCTGATTCACCTGTTTTCAGCAGAATTTTCAGCTTCTTGGCCTGTTTTCAGCACAAATTTCAGTTTTTTCACCTCTTTTCAGCAAAATTTTTAACTTTCTTCACCTTTTTTCAGCACAATTTTCTGTTTCTTCATCTCTTTTCAGCAGAAAGTTCAACAAGTTTACCTCTTTTAGCAGAATTTTCAGCTTTTTCATCTCTTATCAGCACAAATCTCAGCCTCTTCTGCTCACATCAGCAAAAGTTTCTCCATGTCTTTTCAGTTTCCTGAGAACCAGTTTGGCTCAATGAGATAAGTAGCCATCTTGCGACCAGAAGGCCCGGGTTTGAACCCTGCTTTTTCCTTTCAGCAGACAGTTCAACTTTTTTGCCTCTTTTTAGTACAAATTTCAGCTTCTTCACCCCTTTTCAGCAGAATTGTTGGCTTTTCACCTCTTTTCAGCAAATAAATCTGCTTCTTCACCTGTTTTCAGCAGAAATTTCTGTGTCTTCACCTCCTTTCAGCACATAGTTTTACTTCTGCTGTTTTCAGCAGATTCCACTACAAGGCATTTACACTGCATTTTCGCAGGTAATGCAACTTTTTCTAGTTCTTATTATATTATAATGACACAGTGTAATATGTGTATGTAATATTTGTTGCTGTCTTATCTCATTTTAAGACCTTGGCCCTCTGCTGCGAATCAAATTCAACATATCCGGGGTACAAACAGTCATATGAAGCAGGTTATCAACCTGTTTCCCCTGTGCGTTCATCCTGAGTGTACAGGCAAATGAGTGGCTGAATTTCAAAGAAAACTGAACTGGTTAAATAGACAAGAGAAACTGAAAGCAACAGCTAGTTTCACAAGCTGTGCTGCCAGATCTGTTATTCAACTATAGATGTGTGGCATCACTGAAATATCAGAATCTTAGCTAAAGCTCACAAAACCATTTCCATGACCACCAAACACAGCTAAAACAACAAATCTGACAGCATGTACACGGACAAACAATGTCTCTGTTGAAAGCACAGATCTCACCGAGTCCAAAAGTGCAAGTTTTATCACAACCCAACCAAAATTCACTAAGCCAGCAGCAAAAGAAGACCAAAATTTCGCTTCACATGTGACAAACATTAGCATCAGTTCTGTCTTACCTGTGCTGTATTGTTACCAAAAAAATCCACTTTGATACAATCACATTTCCTGCACAGCTCCATTTCGCAGTGTGTTTCAACAGCAGTTTCCTGTCATAAATTCCTACTTTCTGCCTTATTCGATTCTTTACGCGCGGACGCATTACGCACCAGTCCATAATTTTTTAGAGTATGTTTATTTATTTGTTTTGCGACCTCCAGCAAGAAAGCCAAATTTCTGCTTTTCAATGCTGAAATATCAGCTCTCACAGATGGTGCCAAATTTTTTTAATTTGCAAAAGGCTGAGCTATGTCTCTAATCAAACCTCTGTAACTTTGCTGTGTTTCACTTTAGCAGCATTGATCTTTCCACGGGTAATGTCCATCTGTTGACTCATGGTTTTCTTCAGTTTTTGATCTACTGCAGCATAGTTTCATGCTGTAAAAGACACACAAAAATTAGGCCAAGAAAAAAATCTGCGTTCCATCCTCAGTTACTTTGACACAATGACGTCTACTGTGATGCTTACACCTGTGATGTGATTAAGGCTCATAAGTGTTAACTTTATTTTGATATCAGGATGGTTTACACAGAGTTTTTTCCAAAACAAGAGGTTGCAGATGCTGTGCTGACATTTCACTAAATAAGCTTAAATACTTTTTCATTGTTAACTTTTGATGAGGAACAGTGGGGTGTTAACTTTTTCTGACTCCTGAAGGGAGGCATGCCAGAAAAAAAGTTTGAGATCTATTGGTTTTGACATTCAGTAAGCCCCGTAACTAGAAAAGAACATACTGAAAGTAGGCTAATATAAACACTGGTGCATTTACCGATGGAGCATTGCACAGGAAAAAAACACAAAACACAGATGATGATTTGGAAAGATGAAGAAAAAAAAAGTTTTTTTCTTAAAGTGGGTTTTAATTTGAAAAGTGATGGAGAGTTTCTTTTGTCTTCAGGTCATATGGAAATAATTCTTCTTCTTGCCTATGTGAGCACGTGTAATCATAATCAGACATATAGGGAGTGGCAAACAGCACAGGGGAATTTCTGTGGACAGAAAGAGCCAGCCAGGAATAACACAACAAACATGTCTCCTCTCATTAAATCTCACATTGCCTTGAGTTCTAGTTTTTCCTTAAAGAAGCAAAAATAAAATATCAGCCAGGAGGATTTGCTTCCTGCATGTTCTTTTGTCATTGTTTTTAAGCAGAAGCCAATTAAGGAATGTGACATGCACAAAATGTGAAGGGAAATGTATTTCACCGCTGTTTGTGGGCTATTTTTCCGTCAGGATATACAGGACAAATTGTAGTGTGGAATCGAATTGTAGGAATTAGTCTGTGTCCTCTTTACAGACGTAGTCCACCTGGATTTCATCACACCAGACCAGCTTTCAGCCAAATCTTGAGTTTTTTATGTCTCTGTAACTAACTTGCAGCCACACTAAAACCTTTGCAGGTTAGTGTGTGTGAACCTGTACATTAGTGATAAGGCCAGCATTTTCACTTGCAGGACTACGTATGTATCTGTCACAATGACTTTAGACAATAAACTCATCCTTTACCATGGCACACCCATTCTTACTGTGCTTACATGGCGCACCCATGCTTACTCTGCATATGTCCACTTTTTTTAACAACATAATTGCTAACCATACCATTAAGTCATGGCAGAGGCTTTATACGTGTAGCAACCATCAATTTTTCACACACCTTTCCTTTCCTTCATCTCGATTACTGTGAAAAAGACGAATTGCCTGTAATAGGCAGAGGGCTTAAATGCTTTGAATCACTGTGTTTGAAAAAGCAGCTGTACTTTGCTTGAGAACAGCAGTCTCAGAGCTGCAAATGAATTTCAAAATAAAATGTCAAAATACTCAAGTTTTTCTGTTTTTAAGAGTTTAAGTTAATTGTTGTGCACAACGTTTAAATTTTGTTGGAACAGTAGGTGGTTGAAATAAAAAGCATAGAAACAAAACTGTGTTTGCATAAGCCATGTGGGTGAGGTTATGAGAGCGAATACTGCTCATGGAAACCGCATATAAAGCTGCAGTTTTCCTCTATCGCCATCTAGTGGTGAAATGAGGGGATTATTTTAGGGTTTCAGTTCCAAAGCCATCTGGAGATTGTTTTTACATCATAACCTCTTTTGCACAACCAGCAAAGCTCAGCATGTACATTTTTTTTTACATGCTTTAAGTAACTCTCCTTCTATAAAGTTAATTTGATTTATACAAACCTGTTTTTGTTTATTGTTTTTTTTACCTGCTTTTATTCAGGTGTGCAAGGTAAAAATCTTTCAGTTCTTTATTTGGGGTATCTACTAATATTTGCTAATTTTAGAAATAATAAATCATGAAAACAAGAAGAAGTGCAGTGGGCTGTCATGATCTCTTGCTTGTTGCAGATCCCAGTGCATCCTACCACGGGTATACTTGCCATCTTTGTTGCTCTCAACTACTGTGACGTGGTCCACGTTGCTGGATTCGGATACCCTCGCTCAAAGAGCCAACAGCAGCAGCCGATCCATTACTATGGATATGCCACCATGAAGTCTATGAAGGTGCGCGGCCACCTGTAGTGATGTACTTTGTGTTTTAACACGCTCACCGGCAAAGCTTCATATTCCTTGAATACTAATGCTCCTCCACTCTGTTACAGAATTCTTACCACGACCTCAATCATGAAGCTGAAGCCTTAAAAAGACTGGAGGATTCGGGAGCCATTCTCTACCTGCATCCACATTTATGATACAGATCCATCTCCATTTTTCGTGGGGTCATCTGTCTCAGCTCTTAGTGTGCCTTCTGCAGTCGGATATTTGATTTTTTCTGAACGTGACAATCCTGGCACCTTATGTGTGTTTTTTTTCCTAAAGTGAAAATAATAGAGCGATTTAACCGCTTTTCAAATGTTTTTCTTTGGCGATGTGGTTCAGCATTTTTTTTAAAAGAATCTTCAACTCAGTAGATAAAGAAATTAATTAATAAAATTCTGAAATAGAAAAAATGTTGGGCATCAATGCTAAGTGTAGCAACCCAGCTGTTTGTGATAAGACAGCTGCAGCAAACTGGTTTCATCAGTAGATGTCCAGTCTTGGTGCTTGTTGTTTTTCGGTTCTTGTGATGAACTGAGTTGATGGAATGAAAACATCTGACATGCGCAGTTTTCACTTGTCTGGACTTTTCACGTATATCGTTAAGATGTAAGCCTGATGCGAGTGGTTTATCGATTTTAGAATGAAATTTGTTAATTCTTTTGAACTCTGATTCTTTATCTTTAAAGTACGGAACTGTGTTCAAGTTAATCTTTTTTTTAAAAATCAAATGACAATTTTGCTCATTTGTTATACTTTGACTATGGTGATTGTTTCATTATTTATTTCACTTTTTTTTTTTCAGATACAAATGGTACCACTGGATATTTTGTAATGTACAGAATAAAATACATTTGTAAATTAAAGGTGATCAAAAGTGATCATAATTGATTTTACAGTTGCTTTGCCCTTTCTTAATGTTTTATTTTATTTGAATATTGCTGTCTTTACCACTAGATGGCAGTATGTCTCCATTGCATGCATATTATACAGTATAGCCAGTCTACTGCACTGCACATGGTGCAATCATGCAGCAGCCCCCCCACCCCGCGTGCCCCAAAGTGCCTGGAGTAATGGAAACACTAAACCTAGCACTAGTGCATGTGCTAGTGAACGTGTGCGGTATGAACGTCTGGGAAACCAAAAACCTAAAAACTTGGAAGGACTAAGATACACTTGCTGCAGGTGACATGCCAGTGATGATGGTCTGCTCTCTGTAGACACCAAACCTTCTATTAATGTCAACGTGAATGGAGCCTGGCCCTTGGCGTTTGAGCTGTGCTCATTCACAGAGTGGTACATCCTCAGCTGTGACAGGGACCGCCTCATCTGCTTATGTCAGTTTAATGGCAGACATATGCTGCGTTTTCAATTACCCCAGTAACTGCTGTGATACAGCCACTGCTACAACTTTGACTAATAGTAAAAGCACACTCACACTGTAGTTTCTCCAGATGTGAATGTGGTCTGTGGAGCTAGAGCGATATCACACCTGAGTGCAGTGTTGTGCCTTCTGAGCAGCAATGCAGACATTCTCCTCAAGGTCACACTGAAGCGGGATACCTTTAAGCTGCAAATATGATTTACTGCGCCTGCATAATAGCAGAACCCACCACATGACCATGAATGGATACTACAAACTCGGTATATTTGCTGTGTGGCTCACGTCCACATGTTTTGCCTGCATATCACCCGTAAGGAGGACAGACCTTTTTTTCAATAGAGTAGAAACAAACGTCATGCACCCCTTTGTTCGGTACACTCAAATTGACAGTTGCTAACTGACACATTTGCAAATGAATCTAAAAGCAAAAACACATTTACAGTATAATCAGATTTGACTCATCCATTGTTATGTGGATGGCTTTAACTTGCAAGGTAAACAAACATCTACCACCGGCTCATTTCATATGTGCAGTGTTGCCATAATTAAGAACATCCTGTCTCAGGATGATGCAGAAAAACTAGTCTGTGCATTTATGTATTTTATGCTAGACTGCTCTCATTCCTTACAATTGGGTTTTCCTAAAAGCTCACTGAAAAGCTTGATCCAAAATACTAATGCATGAGTACTAACAGGAACAAGAAAGGGAGGTTATATTTGTCTAACATTAGCTTCTCTTCGCCTTCAGTAAATTTAGAATTCAGTTTAAAATTCTCTATTCTCACATAGAAAACCTTGAATGATCAGGCCCCATTATATCTTAAAAAACTCTTAGAGCACTTCTCTGTCAGACAGCGTGTTTGCGGTTCTTAGTTACCAAAAGAAGAATGGGAGACAGACTCCTGTCCTGTGGAGCATGCTCACAGTTTGGGTTTTGGAGACAGACATCTTCTTTACTTTCAAAATTAAACTTGAAACTTTCCTCTTCTTATAAAACTTTTATCAGCAATTTATGTGCTGACCCTGAATCATCCCTTAGCTTCCATGGTTCCATGATCACGATGCTTTTACATTCCAGTATGTCAACAACCATTCTCTTCTCTCTTCTGTAGTTTTCCTTGAGAATGGTGCTACTTGCTGTTTTTTTTTATCTCCCTTTGCTCCACTTTTTTTTTTAAATCTCCTCTTTCCTCCCTCTGTCCAACTACTTGTGACAGATGGCTACCCTTTCCTGAGCTCAGGACTTTGAGTGTTTAAAGGAAGCCCTTCTTTCCCATCACTGACAAGTGTTTTTCCTCATGGGTTATCATCAGAAGTTACAGAGTGAATAGAGCACATCATCCTTCATCCTTCACCCTTATATTTGCTCAAACCAACTCACATTCATGATTGTTTACATAATTACACACCATATGTTTAATCTCAAATGCAGAAGAACTTTTTCACATGCAACTGCTTCACATGGATCTGTTTATTTTGAGAATAAACAGATATCTGTTTGAATTAATGCGTTTCATAGAATTTCAGAGTTCATTAAAGAATGAGCCCCATCACACTCGATGAGGTATGCATGCTTACACAACAGGGGGTTACATAACTGAACAAGGTTTGTGTGACTCCTTGTGTGCGGGCTGTTTATATGACAGCTGCAAATCAGGTCAGACTTTTCATGAGACTGTATACGATGAACACTTTTAAACATCCGGTGCCACAGTGTATTACACATACAGTGAGTTAGTAAACTTTTTTGCATGACACAAACTCCTAACCCTGTTACTAATGACACTGCGCCACACCAACTGAGCCCTGCAAGCTCACCTGTGCATGTAATGTTGACCTAATGAACCCAGAAGTTGTACTAAACTAACAAAATGCATGTACAATGCACAGCTTTGAACTTTCATGCAGACTCCCAGGACATCTTGATCACAAATGCATTAATTTGTAGTTCACAATGCATCTGTTTCGGAATAAAAGACGCGGTGGGGGATGATTGCTATGCCACTGTCAAAGCACAGTCTCATACAGGCCAACGCGCTGACAGTGTGGTTATTACCATATATCTCATTACACCATCTGCTCAAGTCACTGTGCTTTCAGCCTGCACAAGCAACATTTTACTTTAAAGCAGTTGTTTTCTAATTAGATGTCATGAACCAAAAATTTTGCACATGCTGCACACTTGCAGTATAACACAAATGGTTTTTTTTTTCATTTTAGAAGTAAGCAATGTGATTTAAAAAAAACAAGAGAGAGAGAAAAGCAGATTTTAGTGCTTCATGCTTGTGAGTTTTAAGGGTTGGAAATTTGTACCAAGCTATAAAAAACACACTAGACTTAATGTGAGGTACATAGTAGCCTACTGAAGACTCCTATGGCCTACATTTTTCCTCAGCATTGTTGCAAAATGAACGCACACACAAAAAAGAAGAAAAAAAGTATTTCTTACTTGTGTATTGCATATTTAGTGTGGGATAGTATAACCTGCGATATGTCGTCTATATTCTATTTATTATATGGACTGTTAAGGGGAAAGAAAAATGAAGTATTTGTCAAAAAGTCACTTGAAAATGACTTTAACCATTTAAAGCTCTCTGCACAGCTGACCATGAAAAAAGATGAAATGAAGCTTATGTGTAATTTCAGTGAGGAAGATTTACCATCGCTCATCTGCATCCTGGGTATTTGGCTGCTTTTCTGTTCTTTACATGACTTTACATGACTATTGCTTTTCCACTCTGTCAATACTGACACCAGTGTTTTACTGTCTGTTGAACAGCAGGTATCACTACCAAGAAAAAAAATGGAGTTCAGCAGTATGTGATCTGTTAATTCTTACATGCAGCACCTGGCCCACAATGTGATGGGGGTAAGGATATATGTGGATTTTCCTTTTTTTTCCTATTTCACAAACAGTAAGGCACAGCATCAATGCACAATGTGTCTGTGTGAGGAGGCCAGTGGACCGTTAAAGTGGTAAGAGGTGGAAGATGTACAGTATGTAGCTGGCTACCTAGTGAGAGGGCATCTGGCTTGGCTTGATGATCCTGTAACACCCCCACAGCCCGGAGAGCTGCCGTGAGTCAGGTGCTCAAACATTACACTACCATGGGAACTGCGAGAATGAGCAGGAAATAAGACGAGTAAGGTAGAAAAAAAAAAAAAAAAGATAAGCAGCTTTTCTACAGCGTCAGTTTTGCTATTTTTTCTTCTTTTTTCAAAAAGCTCCATTTCCTGTTTTCAAATGACCCCAAACCAACTGATTTCCCTTCCTACAGAAAGGCAATGCACAGTTTTCTTATGTAACTGACAACAACAGATCTCAAAAATTGCAACAGACTGAGAAAGAGATAAAAAAAATAGAAATAGACTAATTCACAACACTTTATGCTAAGTGTTTCCTTGTATCTGCTGCACAGCCCGAAAGGTCAGCCAGCTCAGCTGATTTAAAGGCTAACACGGTGTCATTGTTTCCTAACAGGCAGCCAGAAAGAGCATTTTATGTTCGTGCCTCTTTTGTTTTTACCTCATTATAAATTATGCAATATTATGAGTTCAGTGCAAAAGCTCTGCAGATAAGCAAGTTTGAAAGAAAATAAATTCATGGATGGTAAAATATCTGTGAAGGTCATCTTGTACTCCAAAGAGCTGATCATGCACTGATCAGCTGCGGGATATTAGGATTTTTTTTGTTGTTGCACAAAACACATTTAGTTCTTTTTTTAAAAAACAACAAAGGAGGTTTCATGATAATATCCTGTTGTGAAATGTTTTCATTATTCAAATATTATATATCCCTATAAAATTGGGTGACCATATTTTGATTTCCAAAAAGGAGGACACTTGGCCCAGTCATGAAGAACTTTAATAATACTGTTTGCTTAAAGAAAATTATTATTTAAATGATGCCTCTCTGTGCGGTTAATGAATGGTGAAATTTAAAAAAAATGTGATATAGGCTTTTACAAGTCAACAAGGGGGAAAAATAACTTAAAAACCCCTGGAATTAAATAATGGTACAGAAATAAGGCCTCAACTGTATAAGAAAAATTACCAGTACCGGGACGGTACGGGGGATTTTTTTTTTCTTTTTGCAGTTTGTTTGAAAAGCTGCAGTTGTGCTCTGGCATCTTTTAAACATCACTAGGCGCTGCTGCACGCTATCTGTCCCGTCTGTGAGCGCAGAACAACCACTCACAAAGCAGCTGCTCGGGGATGAAGTCACACATATGGGTCCTCTGTAGGAAAATCCAGACATTTTCATTAATCCCGAAATCCCGGACGCCCCGGACAGAACGTGAAAAGTGGACATGTCCGGTTAAAAGAGGATGGTTGGTCACCCTACTATAAAAGGTCATTGGGTCAACGCTAATAGGATTTTTCATCGATTAAAAAAAAAAAAATTGTTCTTCAATGTGACATCTCTAATGGAAGGATGTCAAGCTCATATACAACCCACTTTGATTTTAAGGGGGGTGAGCTATTGCTATTAAAAAAAAGCTGTTAAACATA